TTTATGCACCACAATAGACAAGGATGAATCAAGTGGCGCAATGGCTCTATTTTCACAACGAGAGTTGGAAAGAGCTGAGAAAAGGGTTCCTAATAGTACATCAACAGGCCTAGATGGCATTCCAATTATGCTGATAAAGACATTAGGTCCGAAGTCTGAACAGGTTTTGAGAGAGCCAGTGAGCAAAATAATAATCGCTCGTGAAGTCCCCGATGGATGGAAACTTAGCAGGATGAGCATAATCTATAAAGGAAAGGGGGACAAAGCTGACATAAACAACTACAGTCCTATAACAGTGACATCAGTGGTCTACAGGTTGGCGATGCAGATTATAAAGGAAAGACTGCAGGCATGAATAGAGAATGAGGGGGAGCTGGGGGAACTGCAGAATGGGCTTCGGAAACACAGGAGCTTGGAAGACAATCTGTTCTCACTGACGCAGTGCATAGAAATAGAAGAAGAGGAACACAGACCCCTGTGGCTAGCATTTCTGGATATCAAGGGAGCGTACGATAGCGTGGTTCAAGAGAAATTGTGGGGAATACTGGACACACTAGGCGTGGAAGATGGAGTCACTGATCTTTTAAAGGATATCTCTAAAGGTACCAAGGTAGTCATAAAGAGGGAAAAACAGGTATCCAAGCCTGCAGAGGTAAAACAGGGGCTTATGCAGGTGTGTCCTATGTCACCCTTATTATTCATGATGCACCTACAAGGATTAGACGCTAAATTAGAAGGATGTGGACAGGGCTTCAACCTCTTTTTCGTCAAACAAGGAAAACTCGTTGAACAGGCACTACCAGCACTGATGTACGCAGATGATATCGTGCTAATGGCCGACAACAAGGAAGATTTGCAGAGATTGATGAACATCTGCGGTAAAAAGGGAGATAGGTTAGATTTCAGATTCAGTAAGCAAAAATCAGCAGTCATGATTTTTAATGACAATGAAGGTAGTGAGCTTAAAATACAGGAGGTCACGCTAGAGATAACAGATAAATACAAATATCTGGGCGTATGGATAAGCAATGGGGCCGAGTACCTAAGGGAACACGAAATATACGTGACGACTAAAGGTAACAAGAATGCAGCGGTGATGAAAAACAGGGCACTGTGGAATTACAATAGGTATGATGTTGTGAGAGGAATATGGAGAGGGGTCATGGTTCCTGGTCTGACGTTCGGCAATGCGGTCTTGTGAATGAGGTCAGAAGTTCAAGCAAGATTATAAATTAAGCAACGTGGAATAGGTAGGCTTGCCTTAGGAGCTCACGGGAATACACTAAATCAGAGAGTACAAGGTGGTATGGGATGGACATCATTTGAGGGTAGGGAAGCTAGCAGCAAAATAAAATTTGAGAAGAGATTGAGAGAAATGGGGAAGGAGCGTTGGGCTGGAAAGGTATTCAGCTACTTGAACATGAAGAATGTCGATACAAAATCAAGGAAGCGAACCAGGAAATTGACTGGTGAATACTTAGAAAACAATAGGGGGCCAAACCATACAAAATTATCGCTTAAAATGAATATGAAGGAAGCTGAGACCGATATTTGGAGAATCGGCATGATTAAGAAGTCCGCACTAGAGATGTATCGAACTTTTAAGCAGGAATTTGCCAAGGAAAGGATCTATGATAATAGTCGGGGTAGTTCTCTACTGTTTGAGGCCAGGACGGCAGTATTGCGAACCAAGACTTATCGGGCCAAATACGAAGGGGTAGACATGGTATGCAGTGCGTGTGGAGAGGAAGAGGAAAGTGCCGAACACTTGAGTATGTTCTGTAAAAGGCTTCACCCTATAGTTGAGGATGATGGCGCAGAGTTTTCAAAGCATGGGGGTTTAGGGACAAGGAGGGCAAAATAGACTTTAAGTGGGTAGAATAAAGTAGAAGAAGGTCATCTGATTGGTGGCTAAAGTCAAGGCACGAGTGAAACTTAAACCCTTCACTGCAAAGTACGAATCCCCAACCTCACTATTTAATGGATAAAAAAATCTAGTTTTTGGTTCACTAAGTGTTGCGGCTTGGTGGCGCTAGCCACCGCCCGATCTAAAGTGTACAGCGATATCCATCCATCCATCCATCCATCCATCCATCCATCCATCCATCCATCCATCCATCCATCCATCCATCCATCCATCCATCCATCCATCCATCCATCCATCCATTCGCCCATCCGCCCGTCCGCCCGTCTCTCCGTCCGTCCGTCCGTCCGTCCATCCATCCATCCATCCATCCATCCATCCATCCATCCATCCATCCATCCATCCATCCATCCATCCATCCATCCGTCCGTCCGTCCGTCCGTCCGTCCATCCATCCATCCGTCCGTCCGTCCGTCCGTCTGATGAAAAGATTATAGATAGTGGTACTTGGAGTGTTGAATAGATGGACGAATGGACACACAGACATATGCATGGACGGACTCACGGACGGCTGCACCGACGCATGGACGGACGCAGGGGTGGATGCATGGACGAACGCAGGGACAGACGCACGGATGGTCGTGCGGACGCACGAACAGACGCACGCATGGACGGACGAATGGACGCATGAACGGTCACACAGACGGACGCACGGACGGACGGAAGCAAGAACGAATGGACGGACGGATGCTTCGCCCCACTCTCCATCATTCACTCCGTGGATATGCTGCCATCGTTTATTTATTATCTCACTGGCGCTAATCTTTTGATTCGTTATTTTAAAATGTCGGCGAGAAGCTTCGGCATCAACAATAAAAGGATTAGCTTTACAACACTTTTGCGAGAATATGATTGCACAGATATCGCTGACAACGACGAGGGGCTCACACTTCAGTGCTGAACGACAATAGACGTTGTCATGTCCTAGGTTCAAAGCTCGCGCGATATGGCTGAAAAACTGCAAGCTGGTCGTTAACCTACGCCAAATGTCCAGGCGGAAGTCAGACGGGCTTATCCTATAGAGTCACGGATGGTACGAGCTTTTGCCCTTACTTTAACAACTTATGTTTTGCCAAATGTTAACGATTCAGTGACACTCACCTGTAGTATGTTTCCAGCGTTTGTGCACGTCGGTTCGATGCACATACCGGAAAAACAATGTGCACGGGACACTGCAGCAATTATGCTGTACGGCTGCATCGGCTGCCGCAGCGCGTAAAAAAACGTGATACACGGATCACGTGTGGCCATTCTTCACTGCTAGACCAACAAAGCGCCGAATGAATGTTTGGATATGGCAGTAACAAGTGCCATATTTCAGAGGTTACTCACACTACCAAAACTAGCGGGTGTTTGAATGTCACAGGCGTCTCGTAAGAACGAAAGCGAAAACACCAGGTTTCGCAGGGGAGTACAAGCGTTGCCTATACCCGCTTGCGCAGCCGTAGGTGGCGCTGCCGGCGAGAACATGGTGTATTCACCGTGGCGGGCTCTGATCGCCCCCACCAGGGTCATCCTCGTCTTTTAAGACGAAATTATTTTAGGTCGGGGTCCACCATGGCTCCGTTGACGCATTTCCGTCATGAATATCACGTTGTAAACTATAGTCAAATAGATTGCAAAGAAAAAAAAAAACAACGAGTAGGAAATTTCCGCAGCGGAGCGTCAACCAACGACCTCGCGCCCTTCAGCGCAGGACGTTAACCACTACGTCACGGAGCGAACCTTCTCAAACGTGTTATCGGTGAGTCATTTATATATACCACGTCCCGTAGTGGTTCCCAGAGCTCAGCAACTTCCACGCGTTTCCGTGGTCCGTAGTGATATGACACGAAGGGCGCGCGCGCTCTGAAGATTGTCGTGCCGCGCCACCTGCACATCGCTTTGTGGGCACGCATCCACATGGCGTGGTCAGAGTGCGCATAGATCTTCTGTAGCGCGGTGGCTCACTCGCGCGCGCGCTAATTTCAATATTGGGGGGCTTTGTACCTCTTGTGATTTCATCGCAAGCTTCCTTCGAAGTGGCAGTAGTTAAAGAAAGCACGAACGTCATTTTGATCGCTGTCGCAACCGCGTATGCGAAGGGTACGCTCTGCTCATACACGAAAAATTAAGAATTGTCACAGTTTTTCGCGCTCGTCCTTTGTATACCTGTGCATTGTTTTTGTGCGTATTTTTTCTGTTTGAGCAACGGGCTTGAAGTGTTATGCGGTGACGGTTGTTTGTCTGCGTTTGGGCCTGCTCACATCGTGCATGGTTTCTGCTTGCGATAAGCGCTGCAGGTTTTGAGCTGCTTGTTGTTCTTCGCATGACATTGCAATTTGTTGCTGTAGCATTACTTTGCCCTCGTTGCAAAAAACAACAACAACTGCACAATGAACGCTAACTACATCTGCGAGGACACGTTTCTGCTTCGTGTATTACCGTTTCCTAGAAAAAAGGATCAGCCACGTTTTTGGCTGTTGCCCTCTCTTCCTTCTTTGTTTGGATTGGGAGAGAAGGTACGAGGCATGCACACCCAACCACTGAGGAGATCAGTTGCAGCATTGAAAAAGACAAGTCCAGGCCCATGTGTTTATATTTGGGTGCAAGTTAAAGAACCCCAGGTGGCCTACATTTCCGGAGCCCTCCACTACGACGTCTCCGATAATCATATGTTGGTTTCGGAACGTTAAACCCCACATGTCAATAAAAAAGACAAGTCCGCTCAGCGTAATGTCAGATACATCCCCTACTCCCTGTGTTCGAATTTCTCAAGAATTGCAAAGGAAGGCATAATATGTACGCTGGTGTAGTTATTCATATTGACAAACCTTGGTTTGAAACGGGCGCAGCCTGCATAGTTTCGGCAGATCGACCAAAAATGACGATTACAAAGTTTTAATCAAGTTTATGAAATTACTTAAGAGAAACGAAGGGCTCTCATAGCGAGTCACACACCTGTGGCAGCCACACGCCTGCTCACAGCACCATACTGCTAAGATATATCACATGGCTTCACAGGCCTTTCAAAAAATCAATTTATCACAAAGCCGATCGAAATCTCGAGCACATCACGAGCAAGAAAACACCAAGTTTACGGCATAAAAACACTCAGTCCGAGCTTTAGAAAATTTTCGTAGCTTATCGTGATGTAGCCGTCCTGGTCGGTGTCGTAACTTCTGAAGGCATTGGTGAACGTCTCAAGGGTAACGCAACAGAGGATGTAGTCATCGAAGTTGACAGCTCCTTTCCTATCACGGTCGTATTTCATGAGCAGCAGGTCAACCGCTTCGTTGCTCAGACGATATCCAAAGCTCCTGAGCGCGTCGCGAAGCTCGTTTCTGTCGATGGAACCCGAGCGGTCCTTGTCAAAGTCCTGGAAGCACCGCAGCCAGTCGTTGATGTAGTTCCAAAGCGACACGAAGTCGTCAAAGCTCAGTGTGCCCGTGCGGCGGCGGTCGAAGATATTCATCATCATGCGCACCGTTTCAGGATTGAAGGGCTTCCAGGTGCCATTGGAGAGGCACTGCTGCAACTCGACTGCGTCCACACGTCCGCTGCGGTCCTTGTCGACTTTGTAGAAGATATCGTGCAAGTAGTTGACGTCGGCTCTCTGTGTCTGAGGTCTGGAGGGGCCATAGGATCCGTATGTTGACATCGCTGGCCGCGGGGCGACACTTGTTGTATTTCCCAGATTGGACAAGGATTGCACGGGATCGAGCCGTGCGCAAGAGACCGGAAGCCGAAGAAGGTGCGTGGAGTTCAATTTTGCATGTCAAGGGCCGAATCGCTGCTCCGAGTATGATGGTAATGGTAATTTTCGAGCTGCAATGCCCTATTCCCACTATCGGGAGTAGGCCAAAAATTTGTACCTGTAAAGAACATGAAAGTTAAACATCAGTTTGGGCATAACTAAATGTGCTATTCTGTCCGCGCTACATTAATTCATTCAGGCAACCGGAAGGGTACGTTGTTAGTGGTGAATGAATACAATTCGTTGTCGCCCTTCTTTTTTGCTATTTTTAATCTTTGTCATTTCAAATCTTTTTTTTAAATAAGTTCTTATACATCTCGCTTTTATCTGATTCCTATCTCCTTTAACAAGCATTGTATTTTAATTTTCGTTATTGACATAGTGTCCTCCTTGTGGGTATGAGCTAAGATCTTTTAGGTGACAAAACAAATCAAAACAAGTACACAGACACATTTCCAAATCAAAGAGCTAACGAATTACGAGGAAAATCATAAGACGGGCCAGCCATAGTCATGCGTGTTCTATCAGCGTTTACGGAAGCGGCAAAATTTCATAACCAAATGAAGATACCAGAATTCTGCCCCACCGCGGTGGTCTAGTGGCTAAGGTACTCGGCTGCTGACCCGCAAGTCGCGGGCTCGAATCCCGGCTGTGGCGGCTGCATTTCCGATGGAGGCGGAAATGTTGTAGGCCCGTGTGCTTAGATTTAGGTGCACGTTAAAGAATCCCAGGTGGTCAAAATTTCCGGAGCCCTCGACTACGGCATCTTTCATAATCATATGGTGGTTTTGGGACGTTAAATTTTACATATCCATCAATCATACCAGAATTCTCTGTACAGTCTCTTTTACACTTTCAGCCCACTGCACGATCCCTCCAGCCTTCTCATCGCCCCCTCTGCATTAAAGGGGTACCTAAAATTGCCCATTCGTATATTCTGTATGGTTTCTAGGAAATAACCTGGATTTTAATCCCTTCTTGATTTCTTGGAAGACTACATCCTGCATTGTAGACGCCCTGAATTCATATTTGTGAAGCTACGCTGTCAAATATTGCCACGTTCCATTTCACAAGTTTTTGTTATCGTCCGAAAACACCGCACGATTCTCAGCGCAAACCGCGCCTGCAGTTTTCTAGAAGGTTCAGGACTGTAGTAGATCATTTCGATAAGATCACGCCCACTGTGCGAACGGTACAGATTGTTCTGGAAGCTACGCCACCGCCAGCGATAACGCTAGAACATTCGACGGCAAGAAAATAAATGCCGACGCGCTTCGCCGCTTGTCAGTTGTTGATCGAAGGCCGACGCTCCGTTCGCCGCTATCAGTCCGAGACTGCTATCTGTGCGAGACTGCTGCTGTAATTGGACTTTCAGTTTACCGGGCACAGGTTCGCCCAAATAAACAGTTAAATCCTAACACGAAGTCTCCTGTCTTCGGCCACGTCACGACCCCGTGACATTTGGTGGAGGTGCTGCTTCGTTCATGTACCGGACGCCCCCGTCAAGCCGTGAACCCAGCCCACGTCGCGGAGAAGACACCGACACCAACCAGGAGCAGCGAACAAGCCGCCGACAGCAAGGGCTACCACCGGAGTACGGGCTTCTACCAGACAAGGCGCGGAAGACGAAGGCCATGACCGCGACTGCAGCGACAATGACAACCGCAGCGTCCCAGCCCACGATGGTCATGCATCAACCCAGGGAACCACCAATTTTCCATGGGTCATCGTTCGAAGACCCGGAGTCCTGGCTGGAGACATACGACCGTGTGGCCGCCCTCAACCACTGGGACCATGACGAAAAGCTGCGTCGTGTGTTCTTCTATTTGGAAGACACCGCACGGACTTGGCTTGAAAATCGGGAGTCCACGCTCCAAACGTGGGATGTTTTCTGCGGCGCATTCCTTCAAACGTTCGCGAGCGTCGCTCGCAAAGAGAGGGCCGCTGCTTTATTAGAGACTCGGGTTCAGCTACCAAATGAAAATGTCGCCATTTTCACAGAAGAAATGACCCGACTATTCCGTCACGCTGATCCAGACATGCCTGAGGAGAAAGAAGTTCGTTTCCTCATGCGAGGGGTCAAACAGGAGCTCTTCGCGGGACTGATGAGAAACCCACCGATAACCGTCCAAGAATTTGTAGCAGAAGCGACCACTATCGAAAAGACCCTGGACATGCGCACCAGACAGTATAATCGTCGCCTGACTGCAGACTGCGCTGCTGCTCAAGCCAGTAACTCCGGAGAGCTGCGTGAAACGATCCGAGCGATCGTGCGGGAAGAGCTGCGCAAGCTGTTGCCTTCGGCCCAGCCTCAAGTGGATTCAATTGCCGACATTGTGCGAGAAGAAGTTCGGCAATCGCTTCAAATTCCCCACGCACCGCTGCCCGAGCCGGAAGCTATGAGCTACGCCGCTGCACTGCGCCACAACGCTCCTCCCCGTCCACGCCAAAACGCCGCCCCATCGCACTTCCGTCGACAGACGCCACCGCCGCCACCACCCCCACCGACGTCATACCGTTCGCCAGCGGCCCAGCGCAGTGCACCGAGGAAGACTGACGTCTGGCGCACCCCTGACCATCGCCCGCTCTGCTACCACTGCGGCGAGGCCGGACACACATACCGCCGTTGCCAGTACCGACAGATGGGACTGCGTGGCTTCGCCGTCAATGCACCGCGTCCACAGCCAGGAGAACGACCACGTGACATCGCCGACTACCTGACAGGAACTCGGTGGACACCACGAAGCCCTTCGCGTTCGCCGTCGCCCAGCCGCCGCACGTCACCGCACCACCGGCAGTACTCTGGCCCAACGCGGGGCCGGTCTCCTAGCCCGTATCCGGGAAACTAAGGGCAGCAACCGGTGGAGGTGCGGTTGCTGTGCGACGAACTACCGAAGATCCTCCGACGACGCCGACGCCGCGACGGAGCTTTCCGAACACAACGCCAGCAAGGCAAAGCCCTGACGGCGAAAGCTCATTTACCGAAGGTGGCCTGACGACGCAGCATGGAAACAGCGGAACAAGCCGACGCAGCCGTGACCCGACGCCACGCCCTAACTGTAATGCGAGACGGCGAACTAGCGACCTCGACGTTCTTATCGACGGCCACAGTGTGACTGCTCTCGTCGATACTGGAGCCGACTATTCTGTCATCAGTGGGTCGTTCGCCGCGAAGTTAAAGAAAGTTAGGACAGCTTGGAAAGGCCCTGAAATCCGCACAGCCGGAGGTCATCTCGTAACGCCTGCAGGAATCTGCACAGCGAGAGTCACCATTAACGGCCGCATTTATCCTACAGACTTCGTAGTCCTACAGCGTTGCTCGAGAGATGTCATCCTTGGCATGGACTTCTTATGCCTCCATGGTGCTGTCATCAACCTAAAAACAAAGTCGATAACGTTATCCACAGAAGAAGCACTACCGCCGCGCACGCCGTCAGGACACCATGCCTTGAATGTGCTGGAAGAACAAGTCACCATTCCGCCTCGCTCAAGCGTCATTATTTCAGTCGGCGCTCCTAAATCACCTGACTTCGAAGGCGTCGTTGAAGGCAGTCAGCATCTGTTGGTCACCCGAAATATGTGCGTCGCAAGAGGAATTGCACAGCTGCGGGGAGGCAAAGCAACGGTTTTGCTCACGAATTTCAGCAATGAGTACAAACATGTGAACAAAGGAACAACGGTCGCATACATCGAAGAAATTGTCGAAGCCACCAGTGCTTTCGCCCTCGCCGATTCTGCGGAACCTGCTCAGAGGAACCAAGCCCCTCCCATAGCTTTCGACGTCAATCCCAGACTTCCGAACGATAAGCAAGAACAGCTCAAGGCCGTGCTCCTGCAATACGAAGATTGCTTTTCGTCGTCATCGAAAATTCGGCAGACCCCAATCACGAAACATCGCATCATAACCGAAGAAAATGCCAGACCACTCCGTCAGAGTCCGTACAGGGTTTCGACGCGAGAACGTGAGGCCATGAAGAGACAAGTTGATGAAATGCTGCGGGATGACATTATCCAGCCGTCCAAGAGTCCATGGGCATCCCCCGTGGTGTTAGTGAAGAAAAAGGATGGGACCCTACGTTTCTGCGTCGATTATCGCCGCCTGAACAAAATCACAAGAAAGGACGTGTATCCCCTCCCACGAATAGACGACGCACTTGATCGGCTCCATAACGCCAAGTACTTCTCGTCAATGGACCTTAAGACTGGCTATTGGCAAATCGAAGTCGACGAAAGAGACCGAGAGAAGACGGCGTTCATAACACCGGACGGCCTCTTCGAGTTTAAGGTGATGCCCTTCGGCCTTTGCTCAGCGCCTGCAACGTTTCAACGCGTTATGGATACAGTACTGGCAGGATTGAAGTGGCAGACTTGCCTTGTGTACTTGGACGACGTCGTCGTGTTTTCCTCGAGTTTCGACGAGCATCTTCGGCGCCTTGAAGCTGTACTTCAAGCCATCAAGACTTCCGGACTCACACTGAAGCCAGAAAAGTGCAGATTTGCGTATGAGGAGCTCTTGTTTCTGGGGCACGTTATCAGCAAGTCTGGAGTTCGTCCCGATCCACGGAAAACAGCCGCCATCGCCGACTTCCCGCCGCCCACTGACAAGAAAGCCGTGCGCCGATTTCTGGGCCTGTGTGCCTATTATAGGCGGTTCGTGAAAAACTTCGCCCGCATCGCCGATCCTCTCACTAACCTTACCAAGGCCGACGTGGAGTTTAAGTGGGAAACGCCGCAGGAACACGCTTTCCAGGAGCTTAAACATCGCCTCCAGACGCCTCCGTTACTTGCCCATTTCGACGAATTCGCCGAGACAGAAATACATACTGACGCAAGCAGCGTAGGTCTTGGCGCCGTTCTTGTGCAGAGGGCTGACGGACTTGAAAGGGTTATTAGTTACGCCAGCC